GATGTTAATGCTTTTCATACAACGAACCTTATTCCCACTAAATATGTCTTCTGGTTTTCTTATTCTAGGTCAGGAGCATGAAGAGAGCTAGAGATATACAGGATCAACTGGAGGGGCTGTTGGAGAGGGTTGAAATTTGACGTCAAACACCAATGATCTCGATGCAATAAAGAAAGCCATAACATCAGGGTTTTTTCCCCACTCAGCAAGGCTGCAAAAGAACGGATCATATAAGACCGTTAAACACCCCCAGACTATTTACATCCACCCCAGCTCTGGTTTAGCACAGGTATAAACATTATATTTAAATCATAATAATATATATAATTTTTAAAATCTGTTTTAGTAGTTATAAAGGAAGATGTTCAGAGATTTTGTATTGATTGCAAGTTTATTGATTCTGATTGTTTCTAAAGATAATTTATTGCGTGGTTGTAAAATCATTAGAACTGTCTATTGAAATGAGTCAGCTCATAGCTAGAATTTTTCACTGTCTTATCGTAGAACTAGCATGAAGTGAGTGCGAGCGATGGCAGTTTGAGGTTATATGAAATCAGAATAAATGTCAAGTCTAAGGCTTTATCAGGCCATCTTGCTTAAAGTTTGCTATAAAGTTAACAATATGATCCTTAATACACAAATAATACACGTATGTATGAGGTTTCCATCAAAATTTATCTATATGTGGTATATAGTTATTGCGTTAAATGACAAATTAAGCTAAGGAACTTACGATCATAAACCAATAAATAGGCAGTGTTGATGAAATTTTTTCCCTACCCTTGATAGATTCTCCCAAGATGGCTTGTCTACCACGAATTGGTTTTAACGACAAAGGAGTACACGCAACAGGTATTTTTTTTCCACTTCCCCCTTAATTACATCCCTGATATACTATAATTGTAGGCTTGTTAATCTAAGGTTCATATGAGGAATGTGACGTGCAAGTGACAAAACTAAAACCAGAATGGCTGATGGAAATAGCTCCTCATTATCATCAGTTGAAGGATGTGGAAGATCGTAAGCAATCTCTCTCTCTCTCTCTCCCTCCCCCTCTCTATATATGTGTGTGTGTGTGCACACACATATGTTAAATTGATCTCTACTGAAAAAAAGTATTTTGAATGGATTTTCTATTGCTCGTGGTTTTAATCCCAAATAAAGTCCATTTTTCGCCTTTTCTCAAGTTTCAATAGCTCTCTTATGTTATATTTGATTTTTTTCCTTTTCCTTTATGGCGT